AGGAACACAATATCCCTCTTCTGTAGGTGGTCTCTGTTTCATTAAGTTTCCAATTGATGTTGCTACTTGGTAATCCAAAAATGTGTGATGGGAACATCACTCTCATTTTTCATTAACACTCCTTTGCAAATATATGGGAGGCAGGTACAAAACATCGATTTTGCCAGACTTACTTTTATCCTTTTGGCGACTATTGTGATCCAATGTCGCTGCTGGGTGCCTGTTTTAAACTCCTTTAAAATCACTATTTAAAATGATCAACTTTCTTGTGGGAATAGTGGAAGAGCTAGTGATCTTAGGAAAATCAGCTTAGATATTCAAAGAACAGTAGTAACATGGCTACTGAAGTTAGGTAGGGCAAGAAAAGATAGAGACAATGCTGATTGTCTTAGGAAATCTAGAAGAAATATGTAAACCATGGAATTTATTGAGAGATCTTAGAGATCAACCTGACTGATTTCCTCATTTTAATTTCATAAGTGAAGAAATGGAGGCTTGCTCTGCTTTCTCAACAACGAAGACTGGAAACAGGGCCTCTGACATGTGCTTTGTTCAAAATACCATGCTCAGTCTGTCATATGGGGATACAGATAATTAACCAAAACTACAAATTTTATACATTCTGCTTCCATAAGCCTATGTTATAGTTTTTATTTATAACATTATATCAAGATATCATCTAAAATATTATTCAACTTTTTAGCTTTTGGAGAAATCTACACATTTCTAGTAGATTTTATGTAATAATGGGTATATATATTTTTCTTTGTATCATATAACTTTAGTATCCACATTACGATCAGCTTTAAGGCCCTCCCTGAATTCCCATCCTGTAATGGAGATGGTGTCACCCAGTTTGATTGTGCCTAGGAGTCTCATTGCCAAGGTAAAGGTGACATTTTGAAGATCACCAACCCCTTATGTTCTGATTCCCAGGAAGTGACTCCTCCTGCATGTGTGTTTTGTCTACATGAGTGGACTCCTCCACTTGCAGTGTTTTTGGGGCATGTACCCAGGGCTTAGCCCTAATTATGGCTGCTTGGGTCCTATGCTTCTGAGTTCTGTTCTCATTGAACCATATGTTTATCCCCGGTAGTCATGGGAATTTCTTGCTTCAGGAAAGGGAGAATTACCATTCATTAGTCATAGATTTTTACATATATCCAGAATGTTGAATTGTAACACTTGTAGTAGTTGTTTTTAGAATTATCTTTCTAACTCTTTTAAAGACTAGTATAATTATTCCGTAATATGACTATCAAGGAAAAGGATGACTGACTTCAAGCTATTTATTGAATTCTTCTTATGTATTACTATAGAATGATATATATCACAGAGTTTTCTGAAGTAGGCCAGTATCTACTATATACATTTCTCTACCACAAATATTAGTAATAAATTCATACTAACCACTGCTGTTCATCATTCTATTTTAAGAGCATCTATTCCTTGCTATCAAAAGGTGTGTTAGATAGGTAATAGCTAAAGATAAAGGGCAAATAGATGTCAGATATTTTCTAGCATTATTTTATTTTAATTGAAAAGCATGTAATGAACAATATCCTACTTGTTATTGTATGAGTAAATAAAAGGAACATACCAATCATGTAATAAAAATAAATGGCAAGTATACTAGGTGCATCACAGTGCTTTCATACAATAAGTTAATTTTATTTGTAAACTTCAGCTGTCTTAAAAGTCCCTTGCAAATTTATTAGCAAAAATAAACAAACAAGCTGAGAAACTTAAAAAAGTATGTAATAACAACTCAGATTCTTTATAAATGTTTCCTTGATTCATATCACTACAAATATGATATGGTTAAATGGCATTTTAAATCATGGAGGGCTGTCATTATGCCACTTTGTTTAATGCTGTGTTTGTATATTAGAGAATAATGGACTTATGTTAACATCACTATTCAATGGTAATGTTCAAGTAATATCCCTTTGCTTATATTCTTTGCTTGAGTAAAAGGATTTGTTAGATTTCAACAGGGTGTGGAGGGTATGGATAAAACCCCCTGCTTCCATTAGCAGGTTTCTCTATTAGGGCTATGTCTTTCAGGAAATATTTATAATCCCAGTTTTAGAGCCACTGGAAGGTAGTCAGCTCTAAAACAGTTATTTTAAAAATTTTGATTTTTGAATTGGCTATGATATTAGAAATTATTGAAATCCCACTGAGAAAATGAATTTGAAATGGAAATTTCCAAATCAAATTTGAGGTTTGGCTGTGTTGTTGTAAGAAACTATATAATTAGCTATGTTCCTTGTGGCCATGATAAAATGAGAAAAGAAATATGTTTAAAAGTGGAAAATTAGAGTATCAGTTAGCCCCTACAATGCTGCAAATAACAGAAGCCCAACTCAAGATAGCCCAAATGATAAAGGAGGTTAATTGAACAAGCAATAAAATGAAGAGATGGGACAGACTTAGGGCTACTTCAGCTGGAGACTTCAGCCGCAGTGCCTTCTGTGTCTATAGTCAGTTCTCTGCAAGGTCCAGTAATTGCCTCATCCCAAGACAGCCTCCCACTGTGGTAAGATGGAGTTCCATACTTCCTCTTTAAGTACGTGGGAGAGAACATTTTCAAGCAAGTCTATGAGACTATAGGAACTATAGGTTGAAAGTATGGTCAATTTTCCCAGAAAATATAGACTATGTAGGGAAGGAGTAGATATATACCCATGCCTATTTGCACACAGGTATCCTTTTTTCTGAAAAGACTGGGAATGTGAGTAGGTAGTTGCCCACATTTTGCCATTATAGTATCAGAATTTTCAGTTTAGACTTGATATATACCAGTCAAATATATTAGCCTGATGTTTATTATTTTATATAGGGAAGTTATCAGGAAATTGAAAACTTTAGCATATGAAAGGACTTCTATTTTAACAGTAATAAGAAGAGATACTTAAGTTGTCCCTTATACAGCATGAGGTTTTTGGGAAATGTAGAGCTACATCTTTATTAATAATATTAAGGAGAAGTATGTAAGATACTTTATATTTCTTGCTGTGTCACTCTAATTTTTCACATGCAATAACCCTTCTCACTGCTTTATTCCTTTTCTTTTTTTTTAGGCTATAAAAAATTAAACAACAAAGAAAAATCTCTCAAGGACTAACAATCAGATCTGCCTGGCTGAGGAGGAGATTTTGGTTGCAAGAAGACGCTGAAACAAGCATTCTAAATCAAAGATTCTGGGGCAATCTGAGTTTGCATTTAAGATCCTTCTGCCCATAGCAGTAGCTTCTAAGTTATGTTCAAATGTGAAGAAATATTCTGTTATAACCCATGATGACATTAGCAATGTATATTCATAATGTAGTGGTGGATAGAAATTTAGGCTACTTAATTCAAATTGAAACTCTTCATTAAAAGCAGGACTGAAAATTAAATCTGTCCACATAATTGACTCAAGTATTTATTGCATACCCATTCCATACTAAGCAGTGAAAAGGGTTTTATAAAATAAAACATATAGAAAAATTAGTCACTTTCCATAGGTTAATTATTCCTTATTTCAAGTAAGATATATAGTATGATGCCCTCAATAGTTGTTCAATTTATATTGCAAATATCTTTACTATGAGATGATTTTACCAATATATATTGAAACTATGAGTAACTGTCATGAAATAAAAAACACTAAATGACTATAATCCTCATCGCAAAATATGAGAATTGATTTGACTTAATCTGTGGAAAATATGTCCTTTGGAATCTGTATTTCCCAAGATATTGCAGTTGGTTTTGAATGTAGTGGTTACTTTCTCTAATAAAATGAACTTGTGTATTCAAACCAGTAGCTAGGGGAAAGCAAATTTCTCTTCGGCCAAACAAAAGTCTGATGATAGGAAAGAAAAGTCAAGGGAATTTTTAAGTTTCCTTTTCTCTTTGTGCTTAAGGGATGTATGTGCATTTCTGCAGCACAGGAAAACATTCTCTTCAATAATCTTTTTTTGAATTTCAAACATAGACCTAGAAAGCACTATCACTAGCATGATTTACTCTGAATAATAATTTTCAGTTGTATGTAATGTTATGCTTTATTATGGAGAAGGACTGCTAATTTAGGTAAATCTTTAAAGAAAAAATGATTATGGTAACGTCTACTTCTGAACCAGATTTCTTGTTTGTGTGGTCAAATATTATATGGCTGGAGTTTTTTTTCCACTCTTAACTTTTCCTTTCTAATGTCTTTACAAAACCAGTACACTTTTGAAAAACTCTTTTATTTGTAAATCTAACTAGGTAACTAAAGTGTAACATGTTAGTGTTTTAATTTCTATTGATTTTCCTTGTGATGACACATGGACATTCTTGTTTAATTAGTGGTATGAGTAGTAGAATCTAAGGTTTCAAATTATTTGCCAAAGTCACTGGGTTATCTCCTTAAAGCCGATCATATGGGCTTTTCTTTCTACTATCCTATTACAGGAGGTTTTTGTAAACTAGTGTTATAAACGATTATTTTTAGTTAAGAGAAGCCCCAGGAAAGATTAAAAAAAGGGATATAAAGACATTTCAGTTCTTGATCTTATCTTTTTCTCATCTCAACCTTTAGAGAGTCTTGCTGGAAGAACACAAGGAAAGGCAGGAAGGCTTCTTACAGATCTTTGAGACCTCCTTCCACTCAAATCCCAGGGGAGCTAGAACGCTATACCTCTGTGGTTCAAAAAGTCTTTGGACCAGAAGAGGGGCCTTTATCTGCCAACATTTCAAACATATTCAATCAAATATTGATCTAGAAAATCAGCTACTTTTTCCTCTAGCAAAGAAATTAAATTAGTACTACCTACTGAAGGCCTATACATGGTCCTCAGGAAGATAATGATGGTACCCTAGGCTATTCCTAGGATCAAAAGTTTATATGGACACCAAACTGATTTAACATTTTCTGTAATGCATGGAGACAAAAGGGTGAAAGATCTGCTTGCCAATAGTAATGTGCTGGAGATTATCTCATGTGGCGAGTCCTTGCATCAAGAAGCCAGGTTATGGTTTTCAAATCCATCTCATCTCTGAAAATAAAAGGAATGGAATGTGGCCTGTTTCACCTCACTGAAAGGTTTTCATCACCAGAAATATCTGATGGCTCTTATTCAAGTTGACAGTAGCACATGTGTCTCTGACACATAAACAGTCCCTCTCTATTGTGTCCTGTGTCCAAGAAGGACTGATGTCATGTTATTAAAGAACAGGAGGTTTGTCTGCCTATTCTCCTATAAATATGAGGATATCAAAAAATGATAAAAAGCTGCCCAATTTCTAAAATCATTTGGAATTTTAAACATAATTTATGAAAAAATGTGTTCAAGTTGGTGAATATAAAAGATCCCCTTTAGACTTCACATAATAGAAAATTGTGATAGCCCAACTTTTTTTTTTATTTATATAAGAACCGGGGTACAGGCCAGATTCGCGGGACTTTGAGAGAATTCACCAGAGCCAGAGAGGGGAACAGAACAGGCAGACGGACCGAGGGCACTGCTGAGGGGAGCAGCGGACGAGGCAGGAGAGGTCTGCTGCACCATGTGGGGTTTTCCGTGGCCGGCGGGGATTCAAACCAAGCTGCAGAGGCTGAGCGCAGCTTCGAAGCGCGGTGCTCAACTGCTGCGCCACTGGGGAGGCCCAGGTAGTCCAAGTTTAATGAGAAATTTCAGGTTGCAGAGAACTTTTTCTCTTCCATTATAGTTTGCCCATAATTTAATTATGAGTTATCTTTTATTCAAAAAGTTATTTTTTCTTGAGATGACTGTGAGTTTATTGTTACTTAATCAAGAAAAAAATGGATTATAGACCTACACATTGTATATGCTCCAATCAATGTATTCATGAGTTGGTAAACCAGGAAAATAAAATAGCACTCTTCCTTCTTTGAACTTTGTACATAGTAGTAACGGGTCATCAGTATTGGGAACCTATTCATTACAAGGCAGGATTGTAGAGGTGAGGCAAGTGAACAGTCATTTTACTTGGTAAAAATCATGCTTTGCAAGCTAAAGGATTACCAATTGCTTTCTTAGGGAAGATGGAGTACGTTTTGGAAATCTGGCAGTAATTTTGGGTTTTTAATGGCATTGACCCTTTATTAGGGAGATTGCTTCAAAGATTATCAACATAAAGTCCCTGGCTTAACAGTTTGACTGATGATGTCAATAAACTAATTCTTTGAGTTGACTTGTTTCAGCAACATGCCAATGCATTCAAAGAATTATGGAAAGAAATAATGTTCTCAAGAAACTATAGTTTGTTAACCACTTTACTAAGTGATGAGAATATATTGATAGTAATGACCAAAAATATACACAGGGCTGGCTCTTTAAATAAGTACATAATAAATATAATACTACTTCTGTGCTAAGAGATGTGAGAGATACAGACATTTGGTAAATACCTACTTTGTGCAAAGCATTTTATTTTTATATAAGTCCGTGTAGAACATTGTATAATGGTTGAAAAGATTAATTGCAAGTTTAAATAATAAGGAGCTCTGATATAACAGGATTCACACATAAAAAGAATATATAAGAGTTTTGCTTATAGTACACTTAAGAGACTATGGTGTGATGTGAGTTTCAAAATAACTCATGCAGTTTTGAAACAATTAATAGAAGCCCAGGGTACAGTTTAAGTAAGGAAAAGGAATCTGAATATTTAACATTAGTCACAAGTGTCAAGCTCCTTTTCAAGGAAATACAACTTGAAAAAGCTATTGAAAATCGGATGGGGTCCCAAGATGCTGATTCCATGCAGTGAAAAGTCCAGGAACTGTATCTATGAGAAACATTTGAATGAAGTAAGATGCTTGGCAAAGAAAAGACAAGGGAAATTATGATAGTATCTTTAAATAATTAATATGTTGTCATGGAAGATGAATTAGATAATGTTGTATAGTTATATGTGACAGATCTTAGACCAACCAGAGGGTGGAAGTTACAAGATTAGGCTTAACATTAATGATGAACCCTTCAACAATAAAAGCTAGTTGGAAATGTAATAAGCCCCTTTGTGAGGTATGGATCCTGTGACATAAGAAACGTTCAACTAGTGACCTGAATAATGTGCTTTCCAGGAAAGCTATGGAAAATGTCCTTCTATTTATTGAAACATTACACCAAATATTTTCAAAGATCTCTCAACTCTGAATTTCTATGATTTCATATTATAATTGCTGGAAAATTTCATCTTCTAGATTGACCAAATATAAAATTTCATCCTTTTGCAGAAATTTAATGAAGGTCTACTCTGTGGGAAAAGAAGAATAAATAACAATCTACTGTCAAGGTGTTGTTCTCTACTAGTAACAACAAACATTTGAAAACAGAGAAATGACTCAGCATGAACTCAATGCAATGATGCAGTTATACGCAAAATTATCTGAGAAAACATGAAAGTACTCAGTCCTCACAGATGATGATGAGAAAGAAGTAGAAAAGCTTATCAGAGGAGTCCAGAGATAATTCTTTCCATTTTTAAATTTTGTTTTTGTGGGGAGGCATATGACTGAAAAGCAAAAGGGGTCAATAACTTAAAGCACATTTTTGACCTTCCATCAAGGTATTTCAGTTTACTGTGAAATATATTCATATTAGATTAGTAAAATATGTTCTGTGGCTTTCCAACATTGTCTTATATTCAATACAAAGAATAGAGAATATAGGCTGTGTTATAGAGCTCCATATATAAGTTACAGTACACACACACACACACACATACACACACACATAAATATACAGCCATCCATTGTTTCAGCCATTCATGTTTCATGAATGCATAAACACAATTGTAAATCCTAACCTTATTATATAATTGCACCAAAAATATATTTTTTCACAAAATATGTCTGTTTGGAGATGTATGTGATTTCCTTCTCAAGAGTTGCTTTATTTTTTTTTAATTTAGTTCCTATACCATACAATTCACCCTTTTAAAGTGTTTGATTTCATTCATTATAGTATATTCAGTTATGTGCAACAATTAATTTTATTGTAGAACATTTTTTTTAAAGATTTATTTATACCAGAGCTAGGGTGCAGGTCAGATGTGCGGGAGAGTGAGAGGGTTCACCAGAGACAGAGCGGGGAGCAGAACAGGCAGACTGACAAAATACACTGCTGAGGGGAGCAGCGGGCATGACAGGTGAGGTCTGCTGCACCATATGGGACCATTGCCAGCTGGCCGGGATTGAACTGGCACTGCAGAGGCTGCCGACAGCTTCACAGTGCGGCGCTCAACTGCCTGCGCCACCAGGGGAGGCCCTGTATTGTAGAACATTTTAATTATCTAAAACCCCATTCTCTTTAGCTATGACTCCCTATCCTCCCATCCCCCTGAGCCCTAAGGAACCACTAACCTATTTTTTAAAAATATTTTTTACATATTCTGATATTTCATGTAAAAGGAATCATATAATATGTTGTATTTTATGACTGACTTTCCACTTAGCAAAAAGACTTCAAGTTTCATTCATGTTGAAGAAAATATTGATACTTTGTTCATTTTCATGGCTAAATAATATTTTACTGTATTAATACATGTGTTTATCCATTCATCATTGACAGGCATATGGGCAGTCTTGAACTTTTGGCTATTATGTTACTATAAATATTTGTGTACATATTTTTGTACACTTTATTTTAGGTATATAACTAGGGGTGGAATTGCTGGATAATATGGTAATTCAATATTTAACTGTTTGAGAAACTGCCAGACTATTTACCAAAGTCTTCCATTTTACTTACCCACTGGTGAGATAGGGAGAGTTCTAATTTATCCACATCTTCAACATGTTATTATCTGACTTTTAAAATAAAACCATTCTATCCTTATCTATAACTAGCCTAGTCTTGCATGATATCTAGAGGTGGCTTTGATTTCCACTTCCCTATTGACAAGTGACATCAGGCATCTTTTCCTTTTGTGTATGTACTCTGCCAAATTATCTATTCACACCCTTTGTTCATTAAATGAATTCAGGATGGTGGAATAGGGAGAACATATGCTAACCTTCTCCCATGTTCACAACACATCTACAACTAAATATAGACCTATCTACTCAGAAGCAGACCTGAAGCCTGCATAAATAGAGACTCCACAAGTGATGATAAAAAGACAACATCTGCAATGATAGAAGAGACAGTTGTTCTTAGCCAAAAGAATCCCTACTATCATGGCAGTCAGGCACAATTGGGAAGATATCTCTAATGGCTTTTCCCTGGGGTGCAGGGGAAGACTATGCCTAGCACCTGGCACCCCAACCTGGCACTCCAACATAATGGAGACCCTGGGACCTCTGCATTGAGGGCCAGAGGGAAGTGAGCACTGTAAAGCCAAGGAAAAAGTAGAAAATAAGAACCAGACCTTAATAGGCCTGCAAGCAGACTCGCTTGCCTGGGAACACAAAGCAATTTCCTTAGAATTTTAAAATTTTGTTAATTTCTACAAAGAAATTCAATGAGATCCTGTGTGTAGATTCTGTAGATCAATACTGGGAATCTTTCCATCTCAACATCATTAACTCTTTCAGTGCATGAATATTTCATGTTTTCCCATGATTTAGACCTTCTCTAATTTCTTTTTTATTTTATTTTATTTATTTTTTAAAGATTTATTTTAATTTTTTTAATTTAAATTTTATTTTTATATTCCCCATACAATTACAACCCCCTTATTTTTACCCCAAGCCCTCCTTTCCCCGCCCCCCACCTCCCATAGAGTGTCTCTTGTTCATAGTTATTTGTTGATTTTGATATTTTCTTTCTTATAGTTATTCTTTTTCCTGGTCCCTTATTTAAGTTTTCTAGATTCCTGCTATGAGTGAGACCATCCGGTATTTTTCTTTTTCTTTCTGGCTTATTTTGCTGAGCATGATCCCTTCCAGCTCCATCCATGTTGCTGCAAATTGCATGTGTTTATCTTCTTTGAATGCTGAGTAATATTCCATGGTGTATATGTACCACATCTTTTTGATCCAGTCATCAATTTTTGGGCATTTGGGTTGTTTCCAAATCTTAGCTAT